CATATTAGCCTTTACATTATACTATTGTTTTATTACGTAGATATTACAAATTATTATTTATGATTTACTTCTATATACCTAAAATTTAGCAGATTTTATTAATTCATATGAAAATCGATATTTTAGTTATTTTAAAATGTGTCAACTTATTATATAAGCGTGCAATCGCCTTGAAATTTTTACCAGTTATTTATATAAAGTCAAAGAATAAAGTTTGGTTTTATTTTTTCTATTAATATGTAGGTTTTGAATATTCACTTTATAGAGTACTTGAAAATTCATTAATTAGGACGAAAAAAAGTTACATTAAAACAAATAAATCGAAACTTAATTAGAACTTTAGCGAAAAATCAATCATAGCTGCTTTGAAATAGTTCTGACGAACAGTTTTCAATTAAAAAAAATTAGATAAATAAGTACAATATTTATGTGATACCTTTAGAATTTTGCGCTTTTCTTTATAATTAAGTAAAATAAAATTACGTTCGATCATTTATTTTAATTTACTGATAAAAATTTGATTATAATGAAATAATCAATATAGCCGACATAGTTTTGATTAATTAGTCCGTGTGACACCCCAATATGAGATCTTTTGATTATTTAAAGGAATTCTCAAAATTTCATTTTATGAAATACTGTAACATCAGCAGTGAGGCAAAATGTTAACCTCGAGGAGTACACAAAAACTTCTCGAACATATTGATATTAAAGCTTACTATGAACAAAATAATAGAAATTTAAAGTATCATACTTTCTCACTCGATCATACTAAAAACTCGGATTTGAATTTAACTAAAATAATCAGTTCACCTGCCACTTCACATGGATTGATCTCAGCAATCATCCATGCTTATACTCTTCACCAACATCTTCGAATTTCACCAGACGATATATGGTTAACAGTTGCACAAGGTGTTAGTAAGCATATCTGGTTTAATAGCAACCGCTTTCGTCACTTGTTTATCGACCATGAAGGCAAAAAGAAGATCGAAATTGATGCACGTAATCTTTTAGATTATAAAGATAGAATTATTTATGGAGATTGGCTTCAAGTAATTGAACAACTTTCTAATTCCGTTGATAAACAATTTAAAATTGTGGATTTAAAACAACTCTTCGAATGTGATTTTTCAACTTCAACTAAAGCATCTATTACTGCAAGCAGAATTGTCCTGTTAGATTCAACGAAAGCATATTTTCGTTGCAGATTGCGTGGTGGTTGCGGCATTCCAAAAGTTACCCTTGAGGATTCATTAACAGATTGGTTTCATCTTCAAGAGAAAGTCAACAAACTTCGTAATTTAGAACTTGACCTTGATTTCTGGTTTGATAGGTTAGAACCAGTCATTGCACAATTTATTGATACATATAAAGGAAACGTTGATGAACGTTTTTGGAGCATGGTTGATTCTTAAATTCCTCTCAGTACTTTTGAAACAATTGACGAATGGTCAGGATGGATAAGTTCTTTGCTTCCATATACCAAGCATATGTGTGAAATTACAAATAATATAATTGTTCCTGAAAATGTGCCCTCTGGAATGGTAAACGTTCCATTTGAATTTAAACTTGAAGGAGAAAATTTACATTTCGCTTTGAATTGTTCCGCAGGATTTCTAGGTGCTAGGCAGGATATAATTAATGGTGAATACATCGTTTCACCCGTTTTTGGTTGGTATATTGTTGATCAAATTTGAAAATTAACATATGTATAGTATGTACAGTATGTAGTTGTATGAAATCATCTTTCTTATATTTCTCAATCACTAGTATATATTTTTAAATGTATTTATCTCAAAATTTAACACAATAAATTATCTTTTTCATGTTAAAAAAAAGTTTTCGATGTGCGAAATTACTATTACATACTCTATTTTCTAACTTTTACTTTGATTTGAAAGGATCCTTATAATGTTATTTTATTTATTTATTTATTTATTTCTAATCAATTTTGGAAAATTTAAACAATTAAGTTTCATTGCAATTGGGTACTTAAAAATTTGGAATGTCGACCAAGTAGCCTATCTGTAAATCATGTAATGAATGTTAAGCAGGGACCCGTAAAAATTTGGAAAAAAATAAATTCAAATTTATAACCAAATTCTAAATAAAACCAAATTGCCCGTCATTACCCAAATAAATACAAATTTTTATCGTTTTTTATAAAATTCTCAATTTTTATTGGTCAAAGATTATTAAAAATCGGGTGATTTGGCGTTGAAATGAACTTTGCAGAAAATTTCGGGATTGTTGATATTATTTTCAGTTATTCTTGGAACAATGTACTCTTCTGTAATTGGATTTTTTGAAATTTAATACTAATGAAAAATAATGAAGCAATTTTAAGGTTAATAAAGGGGATTAAGGGAATAATAAATAATTCGAATAAAACGTATCCCTAGACTTAATCTCCAATAGAGTTGGGCAACGAAATGAAACTTGCCCGAAACTAGTTTCCGAAAGGTCTTAATCCGAAACTAGTTTCTGATTTTTTAAAAAAATTCGAAACTCCCGAAACTATGCAACCAATCAGATTACAGGATTCCATGTAACCAAAACAATAGTAAAACTTGATGACAAACTATTTACTAACTGCTAAGAGAACAAAACTTTGTGTATTAAGTAAAAGTTTTCAGCACAAAATTTTATATATAATTTAACCCACCTAATCTAAACCATACCTAACCCTAACCCTGGATCATCAATTTTAAAAAAATTTATAATAGAGCAATGATAACCATTTGCAGTGAAGTTTAAAAAAAAGATAAATAAAAATTTAAATTTTTTAAAAATCCAAAAAATGTCTATAAATATTATTTATAAATTTATTTAAGTAATAAATACATATTATATTTATTGATTGTAGAATAAGATTAATTTCAATGATATCTATCTAATTATTTATTCGGGTATAATATTTATTATTATATGTACAAAAAATCTTTCATATTTATTAATAGCTTACGTATGATACATTCATATCTATACTAAATTAAATCTCGGTATTTCTGCAGTACAAAATAGCTATATACCAACATATTAGCTTGATCATAATTTGAACAAGTATTAAGTTTTACCGGTTTCGGGGTTTCGGATGAGGTTTCAGAAACTATAATCCGATACCCGAAACTTTCGGATTTTGCAAAAAAGGTTTCGGTGCCCAACTTTAATCTCCAACCCGTTAAATTTAGTACAAATATTTTTCAATAATGTTAAACAAAGCTTCAACTATGAACACTATGATAGGATTTTCAATTCATTGTTATATCGTCACATGGAAACATAGTTCTTATTTTATCTCAACATTCAATAAGGAGTAGATTGTAACGAGGCTAAAAAATACCATTCTCAAAAGAGGCGTGGATTTGGCAGGGTAAATATTTAATTAGAACGTGAGATGTGTAAGATTTGTCTTTACATATAAGTGAATGTTACATATATATACTATTTACTAATCTACTAAATATGCTAAATCTACCGTATATGCTAAATCTACCGTATATGCTAAATCTACCATATATGCTAAATCTGCTAAATCTACAAATTCTAATATACGCCAAATATACATTTACTAAACAAATATGCGATCGATCGCTCAATTCGGTTAGAATATAGCGACGATCGATTTTTGATCGTGACAAGATCAAAAAGTCTTGCAGATAGTTTCATAAAGTGAATATTATTTTTGTTTGCAATTGCGATTGTTTCATAAAACTGTTCAAATTGCATAATAACTTTTTTGGCCAAATTCAAGACATGAATAGTAACAATAATTAAATTTTTTTTTTTATTTATCGATGTAATAGTAATCAATGTACAGTAGTAAAATTATCGATTACCGGTGCTGCCTCAATTTATTAACAGCCTATTTAGCCGACATCACGTAGGCTATGGTTAGCATTTGATTAGTTGCAGGTACATCTTTTTAGTAAATTGTCACTTGACGTGATGCCGGTTAAAGGAATCATCGGTAAGTAATTACTAAAGTCGTATTTCTGTATTTAATATTCGCATATCGATATTATCGTTATCGTTAATTTAATAATGGTAATTTATAAAATCAGATTATAAGCCATATAAGCCTGCTAAGCCAACTAAGCAGCCGGTGGCTTGGTGAGATTTATTATTATCACGCTTAATTGCTTGTGGCGACAAAAAAAAGTTTAACCGTTACTGTAATCTAGAATTTTGAATATAAATCTAGTAAATTCAATGCTATTTAAACATAGTTCGGAGGCTTACTACGAAATTTTTTATTCCTTATTGGAATAAAATTAAGATTTATTGCATTAAAAACAAATAACAAAAATAAACAAACGTGTATTATATAGTTATACGTGCTAAATTATTGAAAGTATATATTTAGAATCATAATTTTTTTAGATATTAATTTCTCTTTAGTGATTATTAATTATTTTTAAACTTATTTCTCTTTGTTATTAGGTAAGAATTTGGTAGTTATAAAGGTTTTTTAAAAGCAAGTTTGATAATTTCGAGTAAATTATAAAAAAAAATCTAGTTCGAAAGCAAATAGCAGAATTTTATAAAATCAAGATACCGTATTATTAAGATGTGAGTTTGAATTATAAAGGTTTTAAATCATATTTTCGTTAATTTAAAGTAAAAATATGTTACTAGGAGGTTGGTATTTGTAAATGTAAATTTTTAAATTTTGTTCGTAGCTATTTACAGTAAAGTTGCTGACTTTTTAAATTAATTTAATCCTCATTTAGCGATTCTGAACAATATGCATATAACTATAAAGGGTAAGTATTAAAGTTATCGTTATGTATTTCTAAATTCAACCTCCTTAGAAATAATAACGATCTAAATTATGAAAATAATGTCATTTTAGAGAGTAAGTGCTTAATATCTTTTAAATTATAATTAACTTAAAAAATAAGCAATTATAGCAAATTCTCATGAAACTTGTGTCAGTTTGTAAGTACTTAGAATCGTAATTATTTTCAATTCAAAAAACACGACTCTAAAAGACAATTCAAATGATCTATATAGGGAGTAAGTATTCATTGTTTCGTTAAAAAAATGTATAAATATTTTAAAAATAATTAATTAATCCATATATGTGCGCAACACATTATTAGAGCGTAAGTATCGCAATTCGTATTAGCAGTTTAAAAAAAAAAGTGACTAAATAACTAACGTACATTTGCATACCATATTATTAGTTTGTGAGTATTTGATTTAAATGTTTCAAATTCAAAGTTCAAAAATACCTCATATGATCCATACGTTATAATGTTATTAGGAATACTAGGAAGTAAGATTTGTTTATTTTTCAAATCAAGATCCTCTTTATGAACGTTTTTGTTTTAAATCACGCTATTATTAAAAAAAAATTGCATATGTAATACGTTATTAGAGAGTAAGTATTAAGCATGTTTGAACTAAATTTTTTTTTTAATTTAAAGTCAATTAATATACGTTACATACCACACTTTCAGAGTGTGAGTACTTGGAGTTATGAACGTTTTTGTCGTAAAGCAAATTTTATTGAAAAACATGTATATGTACCATTTATTTAGAGAGTGAGCATTAAATATTTTTGATTTAAAGTTTCTTAATTCAAAATCAACAAATATAATCCTAATTATCCTATGCTTATACCACATACCATACTTTCAGAGAGTAAGTAACAAGAATTATTGTAAATCGACTAATTTAAAAACATGCGTCTTTTTAGAGAGTGAGTATTAAACATTTTGGATTGAAATTTTCTTAATTAAAAACCAACTATCATAATCCTAATAATCCCACATATTTATACATTACACTTAATATGTAGTGAGTACATAAATAACATAACTCTAAACAATAAATATTCATATATACTATATTATTAGAGAGTGAGCATAAATATTTTTAAAGTTAATGATTTTGATATTTCAAAGATAAATTCCATATTAAAGTTCACATATTATTAGGAAGTTAGTATTTATCATAAGAATTTTTAAATAATTTAAACGTAAATAACTCTAAACAATTCAATTATTACAAGGAGGTGAGCGTTTATTGTATAACAATATAAAGTTTCAAAAGCACAACCTAATTGTTATAAAAATCACTAGGGCGTAAGTACGAGCATTATGCATCATATAATAATGCTTTCTTAAAATCATAAGCATTTATAAGACCAAATCCTCTTTAATTTAAAATAAAAAATTATCCAGTCAGTGAGTATTTAAATCATAAACATTTATAGAATCAAAATTCCTATTAATCCGAATTCACATATTACGGCACCAGTGAGTGAGTATTTGAGTCATTATTTTTTAAATCAAAACTCTTATTAATTTGAAATTCATGTGTGCTTCATCATAATTAGCGAGTAAGCAATAAAAGTCTTTGATGCTTTTGAATCCCAGTTCCTATTAGTCTAAAACAACAAATTCTAATAATTTATATGCATAAATGACTTCGAAAATTATAACAGCTATTATTGTTGGTGAGTATTTAGGACCGTAATATTTTATATTAAATATTTACTAATACAATTATGAATCTACACATATTTATGCATAATTCTAATCCAAATTATAAGTGATGAGTGAGTAGTTAGTAAGTGTAATCAAATTTCAACTAATAACAATTCTATACTATGTACAAAATAGCATTTGTGAATATAAAGTTTATAAATATTTTTAATTCTCATTAAGTAAAATAATCTTAAATGATT